CAATTTATGCCTCACCTGAGATGTTGGAAATGTAGCTGCTTTTCTTTAGAAAATGTCATTGGCATTATCTGGTACTGCCCGAAAAAGACTTTTAGACTCTATTGGCAATCGATGGAGAGTATGACCCATGGTGCTTATTATCATTTATGTGCTTCCATTTAGACGATTACTTTTTATTCATAGCAGCATAGTCAGGTCCAAAGTTCCTGCTATCTGCTGCTATTTTTTTAACTCCCCTGATGTACCTGAACAAGAAAATTTCCTCATATCATTTCCTTGTGTTTGGACATCAAAGAGTTAACAAATGCACTTATTTTACAGGAAGTGATTTTAAAATTTAAACTGAAAACTATCTGGGATCATAGTGTTTTTTCTGATTTTATATAATTATGTATAGTAATTATCCAGTGCTAGAAAAACCCTAACTTGCAAAATACTTAGCATTCAGAATGTTCTACTGTCTCCATTACTAATGGCTTCTGCTTTCTTTTGACTACTTGATTTACAAAATGATCTGATATGACTGCTCCATTGAAGAGCTAAGGTAACTCGTGTTTAAGTAATTAACTGCTTGTGTTAAGTGGAATCATGGATAGCATTCATTGCAAGACAGTGAAAGATACAATTTACTATATATTGATTTTTAAGTGTTGCCTTAAATAGGTATATATGAGAAGTAGTATTTGCTGTGTACTGATTTACCTCAAGGTGCAAAATAATTAAACCTGTGCATATTCCATTTCCAAAATAAATTCAAACAAACAGCCCTGCACTTTCTTAGATGCCTTGATTTTCAGAATGGAGCTTAGTGCTACTGAATACCCTGGCCACAGAGCCATCTCAGGATATTCTTTTCTCCACCCTATTTTATTTATTTATAGATGTCTGTTTACAAAGACTATAATAAATTCTGGTGTTAACCATCTGAAATTTACTTTCATTTACTCTTTCAATCTAAAATAGCAGCTTTTGAGAAAATGAGCTGAGTTCCTTACAATAAAAGGATGACTATATATTTTTAACATTAGATACACTGATTCAGTCTTTCTAAAGCATATTTGTATGCGTGTGTGTGTGTGTGTGTGTGTGTGTGTGTGTGTGTGTGTAGTTACCAATCTTAAATCTCTTCCGTTGTTTAAAGCTGTGGCGTACCAGTGTTTGTATTTGCCAGGTCTTTTGTAAAATGTGTTGGGTAAAATTCTTATGTGCTAATGCATATATTTATAAAGGAGATTTGTTTACCACTCAAAATTAATAACTTTTATTTTCTGTTTTCTTCATCCAAAAACATTTCTGTTTTTCCACATACTCAGAGTTTCTCTGTGAGTACACTACCTGACTTTTTCCTTCACAAAGGCGGGTTCACAATTCTGTTAAAAAAAAAAGCAACAACTGGTCTCTTCACAGAGGTATAATACTAGAGCTTGCTACGTAGAAGATTTTTATCATGTACATCAGTTCTGTAAATGTGCTCAACAGTTTAACGGTTTCTCATGTGAAACATCCTGTTTCAGAGTGCTCAGATTTTTGGATATGTAAGCCATTGATAAAACATTGCAATTCAAAGCTTTATTTTAAATAACTTAATGTTTTAAATTTATTTATGTAGATTAACACCATTTTGTCATATACAGTCTTTTATTTCAACAATTATTTATTTTTAGAAGGTAAATTTAAAGACTTAAGGACATTCGAGCTTTAAAATAGTGTTCAAATTTCAAAATTTGGCAATCTTAATCTCTTTTCTAACTTCAGAAAGTAAAATAAGTGTCAGTTATAGAAAAACATAGTTGAAAAAGGAATCATCTAAAGATCTTTTTAAAATGTAATTACCACATACTTAGAGTAATTGCTAAGCCCCACTTTTGTTTTTAATCAGTGTTTTGCACATCGATTGGTTTTTCATGCTGTGGCTTTTCTTACATTTATTATTCAAGGTTTTTGTTTTTGTGGGAGGGTCTTTCAATGTTTACTATGTTTAAATAAACAAATATTGAATTGTATTGTGTATTTATGTAATATTTGATATCTTGGTGTAATTTCATAGTATAGGTCAAAGTTTTATGACTTTTATAATTACAGTGATATTTGCTTTTGTAATAAAATCCAAACCAAATTAAACATTAAATTGTAGAATTGATATTTTTCATTTATATGAAGTACGAGTCTATCCAAGTCTATAATGTGAACCATCCTGCCTTTCACATTTGTTTCATAATTGTGAGAAAACTATTTTTTGTATATCTTATTAAAGTTGAAAGAGCAATAAAAGTCTACTTAATTAATTGTTGGCTATTGTCTTTACTTTGTATTTTATTGGAAGAGCTGAATGTCTTTTTCAGCTTGAGATGAGGTAGGGAGTGAAAATGAGTGATTGGTATGTCCTGCCTGCCTCCTAATATTTGTATGCTCTAGGAGAAGACAGACAGAAAAGGGGAAAAAAGGGGAAACAAAATAGTGTTTCACAGTAGCATTTTCATGGTTAAGAAATATTGAAAATACCCTTTGTTAATGCTGGCCTTAGCTTTGTCAGCCCCTACCATTTTCTTACTTTAAAATTAAAGCTTTTTCCTATTTTTTTAAAGAAAGAAATGTTGAAAATAAAGTCCCTTTTGCAAAGCTCATTTATTTTTTCCTTATTTTAAGACTTTTGCTGGGTTATGTGTACTCATTTGCATAAGTACTGACATTACAGGCAGGCTCTGCTTGTTTTTGTTGTTGTTAATTAATTTTATTACAGATTTTTTCCTTAATAGCAAATAAGTCTTGTCTGTTTTCTGTAATATATCTGTGTATATATATTAATATATAATATGTGTGTATAGATAAGCATACAATTTCCTCATGTTTTTTGTACTGAGAAACTTCTGATACTTCTGTGAATTTAATAATGTATGAAAGTATGATGGGTTAGGGTGCTTATGGTTTTGGAAATTTCATGTGAAAGTTTGATGTTAGGAAAAATATTTTTGTCAATATGTAATTCCCACCTATCAAACATCAATATTTTTTTAACCAGGAAAGAGGAAAGGGAACCATGATTTTCTCATTTCTGTTTGATCTAACCTTGACATTCCAGTTTCTATGCTTTTATTGAAAACATTTCTATTATTTGGGAAACCTGCTTTTTTTCAAAGCCTAGTTACTTCATGTTGTACTGGACCTTCTGCTTTCAAATCTACATCACTCTCATTCCTTAAAGTGTGTTGGGAGGGTTAGTGTGTTTGAAGTAGCCTTTTCTTGCCCTTAGACCATTGGTCTAGAGGCATTTTAGAAGTTTGAGGAAGTGATTTGTCTTCTTGTTTGAGTTGACCCTATCTCAGTGCCTATTGTTACTTTTTTTTTAATGCTACAGTTAAAATTTTGTATTCTTTTACTTTTGAAGTATATAATTGACGTATATGCATTTTAGCATAGTACAATATATTAGAGAACAGAACAAAGGAAGTATTAGGTCTCAGATTTGAGTCCTGCTACATAAACTGCAAGTATTGGTGCAGGTGTGATTGCTTTGGGGTTTTAAACATAGCACATTACAGAGCATGCTTTGGACCATTGACACTTGGAGATGTTAGTGCACCTCTCTTCTAAGAGTCAGCGTCTTTTATACCTTTTACATGTACACAGTTTTAAGTCATTTTTAGAGAAAGCCAAAACATGCATTGAGACACTTTTACAGAGAAGTAGAAAGATGAGAGGCACATTCCATATACTGCTGAAGATTAAGACTTAAGAGTCATTGTCCCTTAGTGCTTAATGATTAGAATGTTAGTGTATAGAATATTTTTTTCACTCACCATCAGTCTTCCTACCTGTCACCTTTTTGGATTTTTTGTTTGGTTGGTAATATTCTCATGGTTTTATGCTCTGAATTTTAATTACTTCTGGTATATTCACCTGAATTTGGCTTTAACCTTTCTGCATTCCTAAAATAAGATTTTTTAAAATTAAAAATGTGCTTGAGTAATTACACAAATCCAAGATCTGTTATCCCACTGGGCTACTTAAAACAGAAACAGAAAAGTCATGATTCATTTTCAATCAAGTTTTGGAGAATTTCAGCAAGTGTTGACACACTACTGTGCATTTAGAGTGACATTAAGATTGAGCAGGGGGCCCTGTACCTGCAGAAATTGTTGGGGTATCCTTGTGATCGAGACACAGTTTTCCAATCATTGTAAGTTCTGCCCTGCTTCTGTCACTTAATAGCTGTTGTATTGGACTATTTAGGGAATTTCTTGCTTATTGGGTGAAAATAATGACTACCAAATGGTGTGAAGAATAAGTGAAAGAATTTAAAATAGGGCAGCACAAAATTGAGCACTCTACATTTTATATTGGTTTTTAGAGCTCCATGATGTCACGTATCTTTAAGGCTTTAATACAATGCCTTAACAAAAAAAAAAAGCTGCAGACTTTCACAAAAGTTGAAGTGACTTGTGCAAGGGACGTAAAATGAACTAGTAGTGATTGTGTACCATACCATACAGATCCCTTGATTCTGAGGTCAGATTTTCACACCACCATTTTCTTACTGCCTGAAACGTGCGGTCCTTTTGAGTAATTGAAAATGTTTTGTGCCATATTAAAGTATTTAGCACATTGTACTGATTTCTTTTCAAATTAAATCTGCTTTGGAGAACTGATTTGACAGTCTCTAGCAATTCTTGAAACATTCCAAAATGAAACCCCTCCCCATTTTATTTCAAAAACCAGAGAATGAGCACCCTAAATCCAGAAAAATCCACAATGTACAGGAGACTGGTTCACAAGCAGCTGTACTAACGTCACAGGCCGCAGTACCCTGGTGAGCGCCACTTGCGGCCTCTTGCCTCCAGCCTTGGGGTTGGACCCTGCGCGTTCTCTGGTTGCTGAGGCAACTGGCAGGCGTCATCCGTCGCTATGGCGTTTTCACTTGGCAGCATAACCTTTCCTGATTGGCTGAGGTATCTCAGTAAGGTGGAAGAAGAAGTGTCGGAATTGGCTCAGATAGCGCCGGTTGGTGGCCTAAGGGAAGATTGAAAACCCAACGGTGCTGGCCCCAGTGCACCCAAGGTTGAAGGGACCGGGTGAGAACTAAAGAGAGGGCAGGACTGCGGCCCGGAGCAGCGAGTGACCGTACCAACGACGATGAGAATAATTTGAAGGTTGGCCTGAAGGAGGGACCGTCCCTCCAGCGCGGTAAGTGGGGCTGGTTGTGCTCCTCTGTGCCAGCCTGCCATTTGAAGCAGGGTCTCCGGGGAGATATCCTCAGGTTCTTGTGGCGCAGCCGCCGAGGCCTCGGAAGCCACCTTCACTCATAAATTAGGGACAGTGCGGGCTGTCTCTCCCTTGGGTGAGTCAGTGTTGAGCCAGACTCCTCCAAGCAGATGGGGTTGGACTGGACAGATGGAATGGTGGGAAAGTGCCATCAACAGTGGTTTTTTGTTTTTGTTTTTTGTTTTTTTCATCAACTGTGTTTTTGATGTTTCTTCTAGTTCGATAAAGGAGTTGTTCTGGTTAGGTAGAGCCTGCCTCGATGCCTCTGGAGGCTCCTTTGTCAGCATCACTTTTTTGCCTTCCCTTGACATGATACTGCTCTGGCTTTGCTGCGTGCCTTTCTGCTCCATCTGGATGAGTTCATTCACTCCCATGCTTTCAGGCACCTTCTGTTGATGGCCCGAAAGTCTCCACCTTCAGCCTTTACTACTCCCTTAAGAATCAGGTCCCAAGACCCAACTGCCAGTTAACTCTGCACATGTACAAGCCTAAATGTAAATGCCATTTTTCCTCACCCCGACCAGACTGGTACTCCCTTGGATTCCCAGTCTTGGGTGCCACTATCTACTTAGTTACCAAAACCATATCTTGGGCAGCATCTTTGACACTGCCTTTTCCTCTGCATCTCCATCAATTGTCAAGGCTATCCTCTCTTAATAGAGGTTGAATCAATTCCCACACCACTGTCTCCTTTCTTACTATCTTATAAATTCCACTAGTGCCTTGGTTATATTTAACATATATCTGGCTTCCCTAATTTTAGGCTGGACCTATAATGAATTTCTCTCACTATTGTTAAACCCTGTTTCAAAATTAAAAGGGGCTGGGGATGTAGCTCAGTGTGAAGGCCTTGGTTTCAATCCTCAGTACTGGAGAAAAAAACCTAAGTGTATTTCCTTTCCGTGAAGTCTTGCAAAACTCTCCCATTACCTTAATCCAGCTGTCAGTTAAAGCTTCCCTTAGCAGCTCATCTTGGCTGTTTCCACCACATTGTCTCCTGTGTGGAGTTATTTGGCCTATTGCTTACACTTCCTGGAATGGACTTTTTCTATTTCCCTCCCTCCCTCCCTCTTTCTTTTCTTTTCTTTCTTCACACACCCTACCCATGATCTCATTCTCTATGTTTTCCCTAATTACTTTCCTGCTTCTTCCTTAGGCATTGAAGGCAGGTGCTGTTTGTCTTGCCACTGTTCTATTACCAGCATCTGGCTGAGTACCGGGATATAGCAAGTGCTCAACAAATTCTTGTTAAATGAGCTGGTCAATGAAGCTTTTATTAATAGAAAGATGGGTATTGTATTGAAGGTTTTCATTTCAAGATCTTTGGTAGTTGGAGACTATTTTGATTCAGGCTATATTTTATACCATAATAATTATGATATTAGTTGTTACTATATGGTGTCTTAGTCACTTTCTCATCACTGAGGCACAATACCCAATGCCCACAACTATAAAGAGGAAAGATTTATTTTCGCTCACAGTTTATAGAGGTTTCAGTCCATAGTCAGCTGGTTCCAATGCAGGGCAGCATGGCAGCAAAGCAGAGAGAGATCAATGGAGGAAAGAGGGAGACTAATCCATTGATGAGCATCACATCTCCATGATCCGATCACCTCCCTAAAACTCCTATGTCCTAGAAACTGCTCTTGGTTGAATCAAAAGATTCAATGCACCTATGAATTTAGCAGTACATCTAGATGTAAACCAGAACATATGGCATGAGTTAAAGTTTATTGAAAAGAGTGACAGTACAATATGGTTTGCAAGAAGTAGGTTTTGGAGTTATACATACAAGGGTTTGAGTCCTAGGTCTAATATTTTAGCTCTCTGGCCCTCTAGTCAGCTTTTAAAATCTACAATGGACTGATAATAGCACTTGCCTCATAGAAATGTTTTCAAGATAAAAAGTTCATACTCTATACAAGGTACATAATACCTTATACCTATATATTGATTTTCACATTTAACACATTCCTGCTGGCTTGAACCACAGTGGTACATATATGACTGTCTCATGCTTCCTGATGGGACAGTCATGCATGTATCACCAATGACTAGCAGCAAGACATTCGAATTATGGCTCTGTCATGAACATGTTAAAACTAAGAACACACTGAATGTTAGAGTTGTGAAATTTTCCATGGTCAGTTACTAAAAGATAAAATAAATCTTTTGATTCAGTCAAGAGCAGTTTCTAGGCCTCCATCTTGTCATACTACTTGGTCATGAACTTTTGTGTATGGCAACTGATACAACTCTGATACAATAAGAGACATGCATTCAATGAGTACGTTTTGAACATGTGATGGGTCCAGGCTTCATGCTAGATGAGGGTGGGACTAAAGAAAGTTCAATCTACAGTATGAAGAAGGTTAAAGAAGGGATTGGGTTGTGGCCCTCCATGTCAAAGCCAGTTACACTTTGAGTTTGAAGCTAGAGTGAACTGAGTTGAGCACATAGATAGGCAGAGAGGAACTTGAAGTTCATTTAGACATCAGTACATATTTACTGAACAGAACAAAACACAGTTCTCTTGTAATTATTGTCAGGGACAATGGAGCTGAGTCTAGAGGACTCAGACTCTCCAATCAGATTATGTAAGTTCAAATCCTAGCTCCCTCATCACTTGATATGGAACCTCTGGCAAGTGACTTAATCTTTTTGCACCCTAGGTCCTCACTTGTAAAGGGAAGTGGCTGTAAACCTTGCATGAATTAACATAGGCAAATTTCATAGAATAGTGGTAGGTATATAGGAAATATTATGTTAACTATTTGCATTATGTTCTACATGGGAGAGACAGGTAAGTAAATAGAAAGCAGAATGAGGCAACAGAAAGTGTTAGCTTGAGGACAAGGTGGGCTTGGGAATAAGTCCAATATTTTTGGAAGATTTGATCTTCCAGTGGAAAGTGAACTTTAAACATACTCATGTGACTGACATGTATCAAGATGAGGGAAAAAAAAGAATATAAGCCCTGAATACAGTGCATTATTTTTCATTCAGTAAAATACTCACTCATATTTTTTATTAGTCTTCCTCTCCTCTCAACTAAAATCTTGAACAGTCATAATGAGAATCGTCAACTCAAGGGCTCATTAAATCTTACATTGGGGATATTTATAATGGACAAGAATCCTAGCTTCAAAGCAGTCAGCAGGTCAAAGTGATAAAAATGATAACTGACTGGCTAATATCTAGAAAAGAAACAGTAAAAACTCTCCTGTAAGAATTAAAATAAGAACTAGAGGCAGAGCAGACAGAGCACAGCAACTGTAACATTGACTCCTGGCCATCAAGAAAAAGCTATACAGCATTTAATGCACTTTGCCAAGATAGGGAATTGTTGATTGATTTGAAGGAAGTATGTAAAAAGTATATTTGTTAATTAAAGAGATGAATATTGATCTAGAAACTTCATTGGGACAAATACAGTGCTAGATGAATCCCACTGGTAAATAGGAGTTAGCGCAGCATGAGATTAATGCTACTTGCCAGCTGTGAAAGCTAACACGAGGCTTAACTTCTCTGTGTCATATTTCCCTCAGTGGGGACCATAATGTTACCTACCTTATAATTTGTTAGACCTTGAAGTAATATTTGGAAAGCACTTAGAATAGTGTTGGCCCAAGGTACCACCATGTAAATATTTGCTCTCATTTGTATTGCAATTACCGGGCCCGGGGATTTAGCTCAGTGGTTCCACCACCTGCCTCACAAGCGCAAGGTTCCAAGTTCGATCTCTGGTGAAAAAAAAAAAAAAGTATTGCAATTAGCAGATATGAGATCTTGGCCAAGTCACTTGGACTTTTAGTGCCTCAGTTTCTTCATCTGTAAATTGGAGAAACAGCATTACTTACCTCAGAGGGTTGTTTTGAGGATTAAGTAAAAACACCAAAGTGCTGATAGGAAAATGCCTTATTATCTTTACAAAGCAGAAATGAAGACTTTGTTACAGTGAAATAATTTTATGTCAAAAATTTGTCATCAGTGAGTCAAAGTGAATATAGACCAATGATTTAAAATGAGCACAAGATTGTCAAATTGAAGTAGTAACATTATAATTTTGTCCTAATTCCACCTTGCCATAGTAAGATTATTTCTAATTTTTGTTAAATGAGGGCACTGATAATCAGAGAGGTCTAGAGACCCAGGTCACTCAGTGGACAAATGAAACCAGGACTTCTCTGCCACCAGTGCTCCTTCTGACCATATCCCCACGGGTCCAGCTGGAAGAGTGCACATCCCCAGACTGTAGCCTCACATTAGTGGAGGCTAAGGTATTCATATAATAATGTATGCTACACTTGACCTAATATGAATACATTATTTTGCTTTAGGAAGTTTTATTATCCTGTTCAACACACGTGAGTCAGTTTATATTTAATATGTATATAATATATTCTTTGTGACTTTCTTGTATTTATAAAGGATTTTCTCAAACCAAGATGCTATTGTCACTGGATATTGGTCAGTTGGGACAAAGCTGTAATTTCTTGATTCTTTTTATTATCTTTTCCCTTCATATATAAATAATGATACTCTAGTTATATTTGGAGCTTCCCAATCACATTTTACTAGGGCTTTGTTCATTTATTAATGCACTCAGTAATTTTTTTTTTGCTGGTACTGGAGATCAAACTCAGGACCTTGTACTTGCCAGGCAGGTGTGGCATCTCTGGTCTACATTCCCAGCCCTTGAATACATCTTTTGATATAAAGTGTGAATTATGTGCTCCATGCAGAGGATGAAGAAGGCTATCTTCCCTATTCCTGGCTAGTTTACAGTAAACTAAAGAGGATGATTTGTTGAATTATTGCCTGAATTTGCCTCTTGATAAAGAGCTACAAGCTAATGCTTGGAGGACCTGTTATCCTATCAAAAAGGTCCGCTCAAAGAATGGATACTTGAGTTGACCAGA